TAATGTCATGGATTATTCATCATCGCTACTTGAATATTGAGAGGTGGCCCTTTGCGTTTCAATGTGAGGAAGTATGCATTGATTCTATAATAGTTTGGGTGTATTTATTAGGCATGTCATTCGATTTGTATGATTCCACTATCTTTTGTATAGTGGAGAAGAAATCAATAAGATAGATAAGTTTGGCAACAATACGTTGGTTGTTATATGATGAACGGTTTTGCAATGTATTGTATATTTGACTAAACCCTTAATTCTAAAGATTTTCATGGGCGGCATGTGGTAATTGAGTATGAGGATTTTAGTATGATTTGTTATCATTGTGTAATGTTTGGCTAGTTTATGATAAAGATGATGTGGTATTATAAGGTATGTTGTAGATGGTTTAATAGGAAATCGTTGGTAATGATGTTTATAGAAATATATAGAATGAAAAATGCGCAAACTTGATAATACTAGTCAGGGCTTTAGATGATAATATCAAAGATACCATACACAAACTAATATTAAGCATGATAAGTTAATGATGAGAGGGGTGTTTTAATTCGTGTTAATTAGGGGTGGTGGTCATGTATTTCAGTCATATTTTTGTGTTGGGAGGTGTGGGGTGGGGTGGGGGGGGGGTATGTCTAACCCTTTAGAAAAAGGTGTCATGGTATGCGAATAAAATATTGTTAGCCAACCTAGCACTAAAGATAAATAATTAATCAACAATTAAATGTTCATTACAAGTCGTTGCATTGTGTCAAACAAAGGGCTTGACAAATAGAAGGGGAATGCGGTAGTTGTGTTTTAAATTGATGAGTTGATGTGAATTACTACATTAACAAGTGATTAATTCACAAACTAAATAAGAAAATTTATCGTGGTACAAAAATTGTAGCTTATGTTTTTATTAATAACTCCTTAACCTCAAGCTTGTTACAAGATTCTCATACTCTACATGCCATGACCACCCTAATCTAATTGAGTAAGCGGCTACAATTGATGTGAGAGTAAATGGCAGTCTGACAAGCTCTCATAAGTGAGTGAACTATCAAATTCACAAAGAATTATGCCATAAGTGATATAATCAAATCAAACACGGAGTACTACTTAATAGAGATATCATTAATCTAGTCATACGTAACTTGGGGGTTCAATTAATCTTAAATATAAGTAATATATCAATTAAACTATCAAGAAACACATGACAATGATGGGACAGTATATGTTGAATTAAAGTGAGATGTTCATTTAGTAACTACGCTAAATATTGAAATTATAATCTTTCACTTGTTAAGTGAAAATTACTTTATAGTGTTATTGTCATTCTTGTGATTAAGTACATTGATTAAATTATGCATATCTTATTTCTACAGTGATGTATATAATTTCAATATTTAAACTCTATCAGCGTAATTTTTTCATAAAACTCACACACTCCCATGGTGTACACTAAGATAGAGAATTTGTCATACTTGTACTATATTCTACTATTATGGTCAAATAACACACAAGAATCACATACAACTATAGTTCCACTATGTAATTATTATAAGTTAAGTGACACAGACACAATACTTAAGAAATATAAAAAGTTTTGTGCATTAAGAACAAGCTACAAAAACAATATTATGAATTCAACTCAATAAATATTTAGCTACGCGTAATATAAATTGCACAAATTCATATTACTCATTTAAATTGCAACAAGAGGACGGATATGAAAATTGAAACTTTTAAACGTTGTAGCTACCATTGTTACCGTGTTATATTTCTCTTCACATCTGTGATGATTGAAATGGTGGAAAACAAATTTTAAAGCTTCTTAGTGTTGTTCGTTCTCCAACAACACAATGCCAAACGTGTAGCTTCATTGATCTCTCTATGATTTAATTTAATAATTTCATATTATAGATTTTTCAAATTTAATTTTGTATTTGCTTTGAATTTCAATTCAAAAAATATAAATTTGAGATAATTTGATTTTATTCGTGTGTGTGTGTGTATATATATATATATATATATATATAATTTATTTATTTAAATTATGGTAATGATTCATAATTATATTCAATACTGTTGCCAAGCATCTTGTGTTCAGATGACATGTAGTGACTTCTTCTATGTGGGAGGTTATGAGATCGAGCCTCAGTGAAGATGTTGTTGACTCTTAGGGGCCGTTTACTTCACAGAATGTTAAATTATTGAGTTAAAATTGTGGCATGTAATTATTAAAAATTTTACACTTGCAAGTTCAATTCTACGACAGTGACAAGGGGCCGTTTACTTCACAGAATGTTAAATTATTGAGTTAAAATTGTGGCATGTAATTATTAAAAATTTTACACTTGCAAGTTCAATTCTACGACAGTGACAATGAAACTTGTATCATCCTTATGATTAATAATATTGTTAACATGTTCTTTACTTAAAATTAAGAATTCTAATTGAATTAAATTTTTTTCATTTTAATTAACAAAAATCATCTAATTTCTTATATTTATCTAAACTCCTAAATCTATTTAAACCCCTAAACCCCTAAATTTAAATTACAACCTCAGTCACTATTACAAACAATTGCAACATATTTTAAGAATATATATTCAATAATGTAAAAAAATCAACACTTAATCAAATATTATATAATAATTAAATTATATCTTAAAACTTATTAAAAAGTTAAAATGTAAATTCAACACAACAGTATCCAATAATATAAGAAATCAAATTTGTAAACTAGGATGATGAAACATAAAACGAGCCACAAATTTGGTGAGGAGTCACAAATTGTTTTTAATAATGACTAAGGTTGTAATTTAAATTTAGGAGTTTAGGGATTTAAATAAATATAAAAATTTAGATAGATATAAAAAGTTAGATGATTTTTGTTAATTAAAATTAAAAATTCTTAATTATAAATATAATAATTTAGAAATTCATTTCAATTAGAATTATAAATTTTAAGTAAAGAACCTTTTAACAATATTTGTCAATCATAAGGAGGGTCGTTATATCCTGGCACCCTGCACCACGGCGCGCGTAGCACTGTGCGCCCCGCGCCTCTCAAAACGGCATCATTTTGGTAAGTTATGTAGGGAGTTGACGTGATTATGTGCATTGTTTATACAATTATGTGTATTTGTTTATACAATTATATACATTTTTTATACAATCATGTACATCTTTTTTTATACAATTATGTACATCCGAAACAGAAAATTTATGTGTATTATGTTAATAGTTGATGTTTATTATATTAAAAGTTTATGTGTATTATGTATTATGTTAGATTATATGTATTATCTTTTTTAAAAAATGTGTATTTTGTTATACAATTATTTACATTCATGTATACAATTATGTGTATTCTAGTATAAAATTATGTACATTTTTTGAACACGAATTTTGTTTTTAAAGAAAATTAACCACCAACACAGGGTAGCAAAATTTCAAAAAAAAAATAATAATTTCTGAAACGACGCCGTTTTGCATCAAGGCGCACAATGCAATGCGCGCCCTAGTGCAGGATATAAATTGCCTCATAAGGATGAACAGGCTTCATTTGTCACTGTCGTAGAATTGAACCTACAAGTATAAAATTGTTTTGTTTTTTTTTGTTTTTTTTTTTTTTTGATAACGAAAGTGTAAAATTGTTAATAATTAGATATATAATAATCAAGGAATAAATATGTTTAGGAGAGTAGATATATTTTGTTAAATAGAAATAAAAAACTTACCTAATAAAATGAAGTCTTAGATATTTTGCAAAAAAGGACCCGGTTAATATTATCTTTGTTTTTTAATGATGTGACATCTTCTCCTTCACCACCGGTGTATAGCATCTATACACCGACGGTGCATCAAATATTAATCCTTAATACCCTTAAATATTAATCTTTTATGTTGTAATTATTATTTTTACTTTAATACCCTTATATATTTTCATGTATTTAAATAAACTTTTAAATTAAAATAAATAAATAAGATAATGGTATCATATATAATTACATAATATAAAATAATTAATTAACATAACTTATGAAACAAAATAATTTTATAAGTTAATATGACGTAATAAAAAATAAAATAAAATATATAATTATAAAAACAATTAAAAATGATGCATATAATAATTAATAAGTCCACATAGAATATATATTTTATAATAATTAGAATTAAAAAAGGAAAAAATGTTTAGACATGCATAATAATCTTAAATAACCTAAGAAATGTAAGGGAATCACACTCATTTCAAAATCCTATGTGGAAGGTATGTTGCATTTATTTGAAAATGTTTCATTCTCTTTAGAAAGTAAGATAACATGAACAAAACATGGAAATGTAAGCTTAGAAATGTCACATTTTCTTGATTATATTGGATAACTTGAACCAAACGCCTCATTATGGAGTAGTCTACGTATCCCCTTTTTTATTAGGGATGATTTGTATTTAGATCTTATTTAGATAGTTTTAATGAAGTCTGTTTTTATTTTTTTAAAAAAACGAAGATTCTCAAATCAATCGTTATACCTTGCACCGCAGTGCGCATAGCATTGTGTGCCCCGTGCCTCCCAAAACGACGTCGTTTTGGTAAGTTATGTAGGGAGTTGACGTGATTATGTGTATTTGTTTATACAATTATGTGTATTTGTTTATACAATTATGTACATTTTTTATACAATCATGTACATCTTTTTTTATACAATTATGTACACCCGAAACAGGAAATTTATGTGTATTATGTTAAGAGTTGATGTATATTATATTAAAAGTTTATGTATATTATGTATTACGTTAGATTATATGTATTATTTAAAAAAAAGTGTGTGTATTTTATTATACAATTATGTACATTTTTTAATATGAGATTTTTTTAAAAAGAAAATTAACCGTTGAACACAGGATACTGAAATTAAAAAAAAAAAAAGAGTAAAATATAAAACTACGTCGTTTTGCATCCGGGCGCACAATGCAATACGCACCCTGGTGCATGGTGCAGGATATAAATTGCCTAAGTCTAACCCTATTCTAAAACCCTGGTTTCTATTCCGCCACTCTAACGCCACTCTTTCCCTTTCTTCCTCGCAAAATCGCCGGCGCTGCTTCATTTGCTCTATCAAGCCCTCAATCTGTTCTTGTTAACATGGGGAAATCCGATAACAAGAACGCACAGCAGCAGCGGCAGAACGCCGCTGCAGCTGAAGACGAAATGGATCCAACGGTAACGCTTACTGCTCTCGCCCTCCCTCTTCCATTTCTGCTTAATTCGTCCTTAAGCTTAAATGTTTTGATTTTGATTTTGTTTTGAGTTGTTCTGTAGCAATACTTTGAGAACAGGTTGAAAGCACTGACGGCTCAGAAGGAAGCCGGGGCGAACCCGTACCCTCACAAATTCCAGGTCACCATCTCTATTCCGGAGTACGTTGAGAAATATCAGGGATTGGAAAGCGGGGAGCACCGTGAAGACCAAGTCTCTATAGCTGGTATTTTGTTAGTCTCAAATGAATTGGAAGTGTTGTAGAAACACTTGCTACATGTTCTTAATTTCAGTATATCTGTAATGATTTTTACTAATGTTTGGAATTTGTATAATGGAAAGGTCGAATTATGATCAAACGTGCCTCTTCGTCCAAGCTGCTTTTCTATGATTTACACGCTGAGGGTGCCAAAGTTCAAGTTATGGCCAATGCAAGGTACTGAAATTCACACTGTGCTAGGACACTAAGGCTTGGAGGTCGTGATTGGGTGGTTGGTCTTATAAGAACTATACTGCATGTCTATACAAATTTTATTTTCCGATTGTTAGTTGTAGTTTTTTTTTTTTTTTTTTTTTTTTTTCTTTTACTTCATAACTTGTTTAAACAATTCATTTCTTAATATGAGCTTCTTAAGGCTTAATATCTTAGCTGTGCTGGTGTTACTTTCCTCCCTATTGTTCTACATTCACATTGCTTTTTACCTCCATTAATTATAAACTTGCATTTTATATGTCTTAAGGGAATCTGAGTTGGGTGAGGAGGGGTTTATTAAACTTCACTCTGCTGTGAAGCGTGGAGATATTGTTGGTGTTGTTGGATCTCCAGGTTTGAAACTCTCTCTTTATTGTTCTTTATCACATATTCTACCTTGCGCGTGCATTAATACTTATGCTTGCATCACCGTTTTGCTTTATTTGACAGGATGCTTCAGTTTATTCTTCTTTTTCTTTTTTTTTTTGTGCCCATATTCATGAGAAAATTGTTGGAATTTGGTGGCTTTATTTGGTTTATGATATTTAGTTATCTTGATTACATGTCATGATGATGCCATTCCACATCTTTGTTGATGAAATGTTTTCCTAATAATTTGGACTATTATCAGGAAAGACAAAAAGGGGAGAGCTCAGTATTTTTCCAAAATCATTTGTAGTGTTATCTCATTGTCTCCATATGATGCCTCGACAAAAGGGTGCCCAAACTGAAACAACCAAGGTCTGAATATCTAGTTTTCTGTGTACCTGAGTACTTCAAGATGTGTTTGTTACATTTTATTTTGTTTTGCAGAAAACTGATGTGTGGGTCCCTGGAAGTGGTAGAAATCCAGATAGTTACATATTGAGAGATCAGGTAGAGTTTCTTTCCTACTTCATTTTCTTCTCTGCATATGTGTTTATATGTATCTGCAGCTAGTGAGTCTGGACCTTTTCATTCAGGAAACACGCTACAGACAACGCTATTTGGATTTGATGCTGAACATGGAGGTCCGGCATATCTTTAAGACCAGGGCAAAGATTATTACTTACATAAGAAGTTTCCTTGATAATATTGGTTTCTTGGAGGTTAGTATCCTCTCTAATTGGATTCAATAAATCTTTAATCAATGTCCTTACCCTCTTTATCTATTGATCTACTTTCTCATTTAACCATTTAAAAGGTTGAAACTCCCATGATGAACATGATTGCTGGAGGAGCAGCTGCACGCCCATTTGTTACTCATCATAATGAATTAAATATGAGGCTTTTCATGCGCATTGCTCCTGAACTTTATCTCAAGGAGCTAGTTGTTGGTGGGCTGGATCGTGTCTATGAAATTGGGAAGCAGTTTAGGAATGAGGGAATTGACTTGACCCACAATCCTGAATTCACTACTTGTGAATTTTATATGGCTTATGCAGATTACAATGACTTGATGGATCTTACTGAGAAAATGCTTAGTGGTGAGTGGTAATGTTGTGTCTTTAAAGTATATGGTTTTTTCCCTTATGGATTATCATTTAACAAATTATTGATGGCTAGGGATGGTCAAGGATCTTACTGGTGGCTATGTAATTAAGTATCATGCAAATGGTGTAGACAAAGACCCAATTGAGATTGACTTCACACCTCCTTTTAGGTCACTACTTTTGTACTTAGTTAACATATATCACTGCTTTACTTGTGTGACAGTTATTGAAGTATTTTCATCTGTTTTTGTATGTGCAGAAGGATTGACATGATAGAAGAGTTGGAGAAGGTAGCAAATCTCAGTATACCCAAGGATCTTGCAAGTGATGAAGCTAACAAATATCTGGCAGATGCATGTGCAAAGTTTGAGATAAGATGTGCTCCCCCTCATACTACAACAAGATTACTTGACAAAGTAAGTCTATTGACCTTTAAACTTCTCCCTTGTTTAGTGCTATTTAATTGAGTATTCTTTAGAAAATTGCTACTGGTAATTTAGTTCTTGAAGATACTGTTTCAACTTTCAACTTGTCTATGAGAATTGACATGATTTTTCCCTGTACAGTTCAAGATGTGAAGCTTTATGTTCAAGATCCTTGTGCAATATAAAAAACATGGATAATTGTCTGTCTAGTGATTATTGCATATTTGTGCCAATTTTTTTATTTAAATAAAATAAACATAAAATAGGATGCTGAAGAATTGCTTTTCAGTTTATTGGTACATTATAAAATGTAATCAGTTAAAAGAATTAATTACATGTTGGGCTTAAATGGTAAAGAAACCACATATACGGAGTATTTTTTAAGCTATTCTGGTTTTGCTACTTTTTGAGTTCTGAGCTCCTCTAACCCAAGCAGAAAAACAGATGAGTGGGTGAGTGAGCTCATACCCCTTAAGTTACCTTTGTCTTCTAATCTAGTGTAGTGTTCCCAATATTTAGGTTTCTTCTGTGTGGCCGTGTTTGTAATATTTATTTTTATGTTGATTTACCTGTTTGTTGCCATGATATGTTCTGAATTCTCTAATTTCTTTTTATTTGGTTCACAGTTTATACATGAACTAGACATCTTTCAAAACCTGGAGTTGTCTGCTGTATTTACTTACTATGTCCCAATTCTTATGGATTTCTCATATCTTTAAATGCCAGCTTGTTGGACACTTTCTTGAAGAGACATGTGTAAATCCGTCTTTTATCATCAACCATCCAGAGATCATGAGTCCACTTGCGAAATGGCATCGGTCAAAGCCTGGATTGACTGAACGCTTTGAGCTGTTTATCAACAAACATGAAGTATAATTTCTCCTTTAACTCTTGATGTCAATACAATTTTAATCATGAAACATGTTGTTACCGGTGCATTATGTCTCTGATTTGACAGCTTTGCAATGCATACACTGAGTTGAATGATCCTGTTGTTCAACGGCAGCGTTTTGCTGATCAGCTCAAGGTACAATAAAAAAGTCTAGCAGTCATTTGACTCATTTCATGTTCTTCTAATCTTGTTCAAGCATGAAGTCTATTATATTGGGTTAAAATATTTTTGATGCACTAGAATTCCTAAGAGTGTATTTCATACCAAATGCAGGATCGTCAATCTGGTGATGATGAAGCAATGGCTTTGGATGAAAATTTCTGCACAGCTCTTGAATATGGATTGCCTCCAACAGGTGGATGGGGATTGGGTATTGATCGATTGGCTATGCTGTTGACTGATTCACAAAATATCAAGGTTAGAGCTATACTAATTCATTTTTCTTTGGAATGAAGAGTTAGTTTTGTTTCATATTGACTTCTCTCTTTGTTTTTACATCTTTCTTTGACATTCACAGGAAGTTCTACTCTTCCCTGCTATGAAGCCACAGGAAGAAGCTTCTGCGAAAGAAAGGTGCTTGATTTTCTCCAATTCAAGTTTGTATTAACAGTGTTGTTAATTGTTAATTTGAAATTTAATCTGTTACTTGGACATTGTGCTGATTAACTGACTGATTTGATCTGTTCTTTCTGCAAAACATCTTCCCCCATTCCTTTGTCATTGTCGGTCACACAATTTATATTTCTCATGGAGAGTTTTTATTACTTTTTTTTTCTAGCCAAAACAAGCCAGGTGAACCCGCCAAGGCTAAGGATGATGCACAAACCAAACCAAAGGATGGCGGTGCAACTCAAGGTTAATTTTGTAATATGCCTGATATTTTTTCTTTCTGTTTATTCTGCCTATAATTCCTGTAGCATGATTAGTTTTCATAACCTTGTTCTTCATGTGACATGTTGACTTCTGAAATGCAGCAGCGTGATACCTGGTGTTGAGCTGAATGTCATTTTGCTTTTCTGAATGCTCAACTGAAATGGAAGAATTTGAGTCACATATGGGGATGATTATTACAAATTTTTTTGGTGTAGTTTACTCTGTATTTTTTAGAATCTATTTTTAATGACTATTGTTCTATGCACCATCAAAGCTTATATGTTATCAGCACTTATCTGAGTAATATTATGAAATTTCATATCACTAGCCATTTCTATTGTATATCACCGGCTTAGTACTCCATTTGGTATCTTAACCAATCACATTTTATTTATTTTTAGAGAGATTTATTAGAGCATCCTCAAGGTTTTTTGGCGTGCCAATGTAGGAGATAGAAAAAGAAAAGAAAAGAAAAAGATTCTGATAATTTTTAAAAATGCAAATTTCAGCTGGCGGGTGTGGGAAACATGTGCCCGTTGGGGCTTGCAGTGTGTTCTAAGCGTGTTCCTTTGCAATTCAATGCTGACATTAGTTATAAACCATACAATCAGATTTTAAGCGCTGCAAAAATCAAACATAAAATCTCTATTGGGATGCTCTTTAATTAAATAAATATGATTATTTGAGATATGTCCTCTAAATAATTGGCAAAATAAATATAACAATTGATTAAACTAGCTTTTTGTTACATCTCAAAGCTAGAATACATTACATAAATAGAGTATATTAAATTCTACACGAATAATTCACAAAGTAATTTAACAAATTTATTAAACATGGTTTACCAAACCCACAGGACATAACATAAACAGAGTACATGAAGTTCCACATAACATTAAACAAACTGGTTTCATAAACACTTTATTCAAAAGCTACTAGCAGCAATTCAACATAACTCAAATACTTTGACTTATTGGTGGCGGCGGCGGCTTATATATCTCCCATTGGAGGATCATGGGGAGGATGCGGTGGAAATGGCTCCGGTGGGAACGGATGTGGAGGCGGGAGGGGCGGATGTGGTGGGCGTGGCTCCGGTGGGAACGGATGTGGAGGCGGGAGCGGCGGATGAGGTGGCCGGGGCGGGAGAGGCGGGAGGGGTGGATGAGGCGGGCGGGGCGGGAGAGGTGGGAGGGGCGGATGGGGTGGGCGGGGCGGGAAGGGAGGCTGAGCATATCCACACATTCCATAAACGCAGAAGGTAAAGAAAGGGCACCTATTTTCACACCTCCCACAATGAAAAGGATTCACATTAGTGTTAACACACATTCCTCTACAGCACTGCAACGGAAACTGGCACCGAAACCCACACAACCCACAGTTATTCACATCCGACATAACATCAACGCACCGGTTACGGCAACAAATCCGCCGGACTCTGGAATGAGGCGGCGGAGGCACCCCTCCCTCGTCACATATCCACGGCCTATCCCAACACCCCACTTCTCGCAGATTCCTCGCCACTTTGCTCAACCATGGTGACGAGGACGAAGAATTCGTCCCTTTCAAACTCCCCAAACTCACCGAAATTCGCAGCAAAAACAACACCAACTGAAACAGTACCCACACATTCATCTTGCATGCATGCAGAACTGCTTACTATATCTTACGCTAATTACAAAGATATATATAGTTGATGGAGGCATGGTGTTTTGCATGGGCGATGGTAAAAAAAAGTGATATTTTTTACCAGCTAGGGTTTGTCACCTGATCATCATCAAGTGATTGTCGTTAGAGGTGGGAGGGAGAGAGGGTATATTGCGATTTACGTGTGAGGGAAAGTACTTAATATAATTATATTTACGTATATGCTTTTATTTGTGAATGAGAAAACAATCAATTAATTACAACAATTTTTTAAAAAAATAGAAAAATGGGGGAGAAAGGAGATGTTCTTAAGGAAAAGCTAAGCTAGCCTTACTAGCTTCTCACATTCCTATCGTGCATGCATGCATTGAACAACAGATGAACGAACTGCATCTTTTCACCTTTTTTTTCCCAAAAAAATTTATATTTATCAATTAATCAATATTGTGTTCTATTAAGGAGGCACCTCAATAATTTATATTTTTCTTTATTAAGAGTGAAAATGTTTAATATATTGTAATTGTCATGAAATTATTCCATTCTCTTGATATAGTCATGCGATCTATGGACTATAGTTGGAGAAAGTATATAGTATAAATTTGTGTAAGAAAAAATTTAGGCATTAAAATGTTGAATTGTCAAAACGGGTTAAACTTGTTGACAAATCATATACGCGTTTTTGCATTTTTAGACTCTTTCCTTTCATTAAATATTATCAAGATAAGAATTGCTACAGAAGAGGCCGGAAACCAAATCTTTAACATCTTCCATTATAGGGCTAATTTAATTATCATAAGATTAGGAAATTAATGAGTTGGATGCATAGGAAGTTGTGATTGCCATACGAGGAACATCGTTTGAGTCTGTGTTGAGAATGCTTATTGATGACATTGAAGATTGATTATGCTTTGGGCGATATTGGGGGTGTTCGTTTGGTAAATAACTGTTAATTGATTGGGTTAGTAGGTTTGATTAGTTGATATCATTACTTGATTGTAGAAAAGTGTTTGGTAAATTAGCTGTTAGTTGTTAGCTGATAGCTGATTGTATACAAATGATTCTTAAAAAGCTGATCGAAAAAGCTACATTGAGCAGCTTTTTTGAATGTTAGCATTTTAGGGCATTGAATTGTAACAAAAAGCTAATTAATAAAAAACACTTATATTAATTTTTTAAACAAATCAAAAACCTAATAATGGTCAAATAAATTAAAATTAATTGATAAATTAACTATTTTACCAAACATGTTTATTAAGTTTTTAATTGGAAGAAGATTTGTGGATTGTGGCGCTCACTTGTTGATTAGGGAGACACTTTTGTTTGTTTGATTTTAGGAAGTCGTATTTAGCCCTTTCTGATTTCATTGTTGATACTCTACATTATGATATTTTTCATTCCTTAAAAAAACATTAGGAAATTAAACACCCTCTTGAACTTTTTGTTGGGTTGGGCATGACGGTGGTTATATCGTGGACCATGGTCCACAAAGTTTTATTGACTATAGTCTAAAAACGGCGTCGTTTCTTTACACTTAAAGAAACGGCTGTCATTATATCTTAACGGAGCTCGTATTTTAAGTATGTTAATTATAAAATGAATACAGTGTATTTAAAATGAAACTAGCTAGCTCACATATTGTGTTTATTTTTTTTAATGCTACTAGTCCTATTACAATGTAGTATCTGTTCATATACTTTCCCAACGTACTGAAACACAAAGAACCAATAACATATTGTGTTTATATTATCAAATGAAATTGTAATTGAATTGAAATGAAATTGCATTGTATATAAAATGAAACTGAATAACAGTTTCACATATTTGAATGTATATTGTCCAATGAAAATGTAGTTATATCGAAATGATATTGTAGTTGTGTTATAATGAAACTATAGTGTATATAAAATGAAACTGAATAACAATTTCACATATTTGAGTGTATAATGTCGAATGAAACTGTAGTTATATAGAAATGAAACTGTAGTTGTGTTGAAATGAAACTGCAGTGTATATAAAATGAAACTAAATATATTAAATAAACAGAGCTATTTTACGCGGAACGCCGTTTCTTTTCATTAAAAGAAACGACACCGTTTTGGATCATCATGGTCCACGATATAATTTGTCTGGGCATGAGGTCCAATAAGTACGAAGATATATGGGCAAAATGCAGTTGTTATACCATGGACAAAGGTCCACCTTGCAAGGTGGACCTTTGTCCTAAATTGTGTATTTTAAATATTAGAGTTATAAATTTCTAGAATACAATTTGTGTTTCTATGTTTTGAAAATTGTGAATACAATACAGGATAATAACAAATTGTGAACATTTAGCATGTAAATTGTGTATTTTTGGACCCGAGTTCACCTTGCGGATCCACATAATAATTTTCTGGCAAAATGACTAATCCAATAGGCCAAAGTTCAAGCATTATTGCATGGCCCGTAGTCCAAATAGCTGTGTGGACCACGATCCAAAAACACATAAAATACATTATTCTAACTTATAAAATATTCCAGATATTTCAGTATTCTAGCACAAAATATATTATACATTATTCTAACTCATAAAATAGATTATTATACATTATTCTAACACATAAAGTATATTATACCCCAGAAATTTCATTATTCTTACACATAATTAAAGTACATTATTCTAACTAAAAATACATTATCCTATCCCATATGTTCATTATCCTACCACGTGCACAGAGTAAGAATTTTTTTTAAAAATCAAAACGATGTTGTTTTGAATCGTGGTCCATACAGCTTCCACACTAATTTACCATCAAAGTGTATCTCCAACTTGAGGGAAAAAAGGGAGAAAGATTTGAAGGGGAGAGGATTAAGTCAATAGTTATGCTGTGGAACCGTGTTCACCATGCGCATGGTGAACACAGGATAGATCTATAATTTCTAAGCTGTAGATTCATAATTTCTATACCATACGGTAGATTCATAATTTATATATTGTAGATTCATAATTTCTATACTGTAAATTCATAATTTCTATACTGTAAATTCATAATTTCTGTACTATAGATTCATAATATCTGTACTGCAAAGACGAGATAATGAGATTGCGAAGAGAGAAACGTCATTAAAAACAAATGAAAAAAAAAATTATGAATCTACAACATAGAAATTATGGATCTATCCTTGTGTTCACCATACGCATGGTGAACACGTTTTTAAAGCATAATTTGCGAGATTAAATACGTTTCTTTAAAGAGACAGTTGTTTCCGAAGAAAAGGGGCTTGGATGCGTGGCCCATGTAGCCACCGCTGACGCATGCCACGGTTTCTCTTTATTATTATTTTTTTCAATTACTACATGTTCATTTAGTAATTAGTGCATGTTCATAAAGTCACTACTAAAGGGTGAGCACCCTTCAAGCATGAGCCTTGGGCAAGGGTCCAGCTCACCTTTGCCTCAGGGCCGGCCTTGTGCGCAACGACTCAAGGTTAATTTTTAATATGACTGCTACTTTTTCTTTCTATTTATTGTGCCTATAATTCCTGTAGCATGATTAGTTTTCATAACCTTGCTCTTCATGTGACATGTTGACTTCTGAAATGAAGCAGCAGCGTGAGAGCTGGTGTTGAGCTGAATGCTCAACTGAAATGGAAGAATTTGAGTCACATATGAGGATGAATGATTATTACAATTTTTTTGGTGAAGTTTACTCTGTATTTTTTAGAATCTATTTTTAATGACTATTGTTCTATGCACAAACTGAAAGCTTATACGTT